TTTAACAATTTCTTCTCCTTCGTGACAGTCTTCGATACGTGTTCACGACAGTACCACGATGCATGTGTGTGTCTTCCTCTGCTTGTAAACAAGCCGCAGCGCATCCAAGGTTTTACGTCAGAACACCAGCTTCTGCGTCAGCATGCATCGTGGTACTCTCCTGAACGTGCGACCAAGACTGACAAATTGTTGAATAAAGTTGTTATTTTTGTTTTCTTTGCGCACAAAAAAAGTATTCTCGTAACTTCATGAAACGGTTGAACCACTTATGTCACATGGACTATTTTAACGATGTCTTTACTACGTTTCTGGGCCTTGAACGTGGTAGTTCCATTGCTGTCTATGGAGGGTCAGAAAGCTCTTGGATTTCATCAAAAATAACTTGAATGACAACAAAAATGACTTTTCATTTTTGGGTGAATTATCCCTTTAAATTTAGAATAAATCAAAAGAGCCTGACAAAAAAAAAAAAAAAGGAGGAGAAGAACAAGATTGTGACAAGAGCTACTTTTGATGAAGAAGATGACCTTTGGAAAATGACCCCCATCACTCGTATTCAAAAGTACAAAGACTTATTTTGGAAAATTGAAGCTGAAGTTTATGGCCATAAACATCCTTCACTATAATGTTTCTTCTTTCTCTTTCTTTTTCTCAGTGATCAGCAGATGATGAAAAGGCCTGTTTCTGCAGTGGGCTACAGACGGCCTCTGAGTCAGCACACCCGTATGGCCATGTTGATGCAGCCTGATGTCAGATACAAGGTATGCTGACACTGTTCCCATAATCCCCCGCATGGCACCACACAAAGGCTTCGGTTACAACACTCCCTCACTCTTTACAATGACACAGATGAGCTCAGGAGAATCCTTTGCCTTCGTCTTTTTACATTCTCCCTGTCCGTCTTCCAGGCTGAGAATATCTTGCTGCTGGAGTTGGACCTGCCCACACGGACCACAAAAGACTACGAGGGGCCGGTGATCGCACCTAAAGTGGCTGCGGCTTTGGAGGACGCTCTGAGGGAGGAGGACGAGATCCAGGTGGACGCCTCTGGTCTTCGTGCCAGCCTGGGCTCCAGTCCAGGCCTCAATGCCTCAGCTGCTGGGTTTTCCAAGAAACCAAAGTCAGGGTGAGAAATTATCCCTCCAACCTCTTCCCTTTTGTTTATGTCTCACTTCTTTGTTCATCCTTCCTTAATATACTTTTTCGTTTTTCCCCACAATCCTCTCACAGCCGCCCAAAAACTGGCAAGAAGGTGAGCACTCCAACTTCAGCTCACAGCCCTTTGTCCGGCTCCGCGTCCCCTCTTTACCCACAATCCCGAGGCCTCGTGCCAAAGTGAAAATAGTGAAAGCCTTCACTCGATTCAGTCTTGGTGTGTTATCTGAACCCACCAATCGGTCCTCATACTACCTTGTTTTTAGATGTCGCTTCAACATCCCGTTTATAGCACAAAAAAAGTTACATTTGGCGATCTTTAAAGTCTTAAAGCTCACCGCAAGATAAAGTTCCACAGATTTAGTTTGCACTCAAGCAAAATGTTATGTGGTTTGTGTGTGTGTGAGGCCATTGAGATAGCAGATGGTCTCGGAATTGACCGTTGTGTTAGTTACGTCATTGTGGGAATGTTTTTGTCTGTGTCCAGTTGTAGGATTAACAAATTTCTCACATAAAGTAGCTGGAGATGAGATTTATGCTGGTTTGGGCCACAAAAGAACTGTATTGTTGTTTGACGAGAGAGTAAGCACATTACGTCATTGGCTAAGACCCAAAACAACCTCTAAGCCTTTCTCGAAGAGCTGGCTGGGGGAAGGGCCCAGAACCACACACTTGACCGGGTTGTCATCGCTGTATCCAGTAAGGAAAGGAGTTGGGGGTTTAAAGGTCATTACATACTAAAAATATCAGGGTTCCAAGGTGCCTTAGATTCTCTTTACATACAGAAATTTGGTCTGAGAGTCCCTTGACCTGATAGCTGGACAGTAGAACCTGTAATCCACACCAAAACCCCTGTGGATGGTCCCTGAATGCTTTGAATTACACTATAAGTCTGTTGTGTTGGGCAAGCTTGTATTTAATGTTCACGGGGATCTGTAAACAAGAGTTTGACATGAGTAAGTCTTATTTCTGTTGAACTGTCAAACCTTGAACTAGTGAAGGTAATACCATTGCCTGCTGCTACTGTAGGGTTCTTTTACCGCTTGTGTCATAGCATACGGTTTATGTATATTGAGACATGTTAGTAAATACATCTGCATTATCATTGCAGTTGTATTAAAATCCAAAATAATAAATGCAGTCGAGTAACATTTTAAGGCTGTTATTACCATACTAGTCGGTTTTATATTCAAGCAATTGTAGATAGTTTTTAAGTCATATTTTCTTTGCTTAGATTTATATGGTTTATTTTTGAAAATGTATTATTTAAAGTTGTGTACAAATTTATTTTTGCATATGAGATTTAAGTATCATTTATGTGATTCACTGCGTTCTTTTGTGTTTAGCGAAATACGTCATCATATAGTAAATGTAGCTTTTGGATTGTCAGAATGTGTACTGCAAATCCTGATGCTGGTCATTGAAATCAGTGTGAATTTCTTAATTTAAATATGCATTATCTAATCGATATTAATGCTGCCACTCCTGGCTGTATTAATGCATAAGTCATTAGTTGCCGTTACATTATTTTTTAGGTTTTAGCATGACATAAGAACATCTAAAGCATTATAGGCAAAATAAAACTGTATGTCTGCAGTCTAATACTCCACTTTCACCTTCTTCCATGTGATGCATGAGTTCAGTGCTAATAACCACACTGAGAAAATCATTTTAACGTTCACACAGATTTTGTTTTGTACTAAAATGTTTGTATTTGAGTTTAGAATGCAAATGTCCTCAGTGTGTTAACCATCTTTTAATTAAAGGATGATTATTATCTATTTGAATGGTGTAAGAGCTGTTTTTTCACCCATTTATTCTGCTTGCATTTTTATTCCACCCATATCACAATACGACTTCAATAAGTAATAAAAATAAATAACCAGGACTTTTTAATGTGTCACCTGAACCTTGTCCTGTTCCATGTTATGGTAGCATAATGATCTTGTAATCTGAAGCATTAGCTTTCAATTCTTGTTGCGATAAATAATAGTATTTTTTTGATGAGTCAATATGATGTTCAGGGGGCCTGGAAACCATAGCGGTGCCCCTGGTTAAACGTCCTAATTCTGGATTCTCCATTTACAGTAAATGCCAGTGTTCAAATTATGCATTATTTCCACTTAACAAAACACTTAAGTTTTGGAATTTCAGTGACATACTGCAAATACACAATACACATTAAATGAACAGAAACAGAAGTAATGTGCTGTCCGGTGTGCAAACTCAAACTTTATTGAAGGTTCTGTCACCTACAAGCACACAATCGTTTCAAGCAAAACCTGGTAGATATGCTTGTACGTCAGACGAGTAAAGACTTTCCTTGTGATAATATCCTGCATTTTATGGGCTACCTAAGCATTGGTCTCCTCAAGGAGAACTAAAGGAAAATGCTCCTGAACTGATGAAATGTGTAGAAATCGAACCTGGGATCATAGAATTGCCAGATCCAACCATTGTATGCTCAGAATAGTCTTCCTGTACAGAGATCGTTTTACCACCACTGAGATATATAAAAAGCAGATCATTTTCAACATTTTTGGTCAAAATATAGAAAGGTCCTAACATTTTGGTCTTTTTGTTCTGTGAAGGAGTTAAAAAATAAGTAACATGAAATAAAATGTTTTTCTAAAGTATTCCTGAGTAGGGCCAAAGATTCTGAGCACAATGATTGGAATTTGTGAAAAATACCCAAGTGCTTCATATACCTTGAATTTTTGGTGATTACCAATAAATAGAATTTTACTAAAAATGCTTCTCTTTATTTTCACACAACCTTTACAATATTATTTGTAAAGCTTGCGATATGACAATGATTCTGTAGTAACGGGGTGCAAAAACCATGTCTGCCTTCATACGAGTGTGGAATAAAGTTACAATGCCGCGTCAAATGTAACGCTACCAGCAATGGTAATTGAATTTACATGATAAAATGCATCATACACCTCAAACTCCAATATTGACAAAATGCGGGTGCGCTACGGCAGTACACATGCAGACGTTATTCAGTATTTTAGAGAACACAGTAGAGGCAAGGTAAAGAGTTCAACAGTGGAGGGCCAACTTTGGGGTCTCGTGTAAAGGTGCGGCCACAATAGCGAAATTTCGCAGGCAAAGAATGTCCAATGTCAGAACAGAAGTCCCTTTCAAACCAAGCAGTTTTTTAAGTCAACATGGCAAACTCGCGTTACCAATTTTGACGAAATCTGCATGAGGAACTTTTTCGTAATTGCACGCAGTGTTGGGCAGTAACGCATTACTTAGTAACACGTTACTGTAATTTGATTACTTTTTTAGTAACGGAGTAATTTAACGCGTTATAATTTTCAAAACAGTAATTAGAGTTTCAAGTTACAAGCCGAGGTCTCTATACGTTACTGCTGCATTACATTGCTGACAGAATGCAGTGTTTTATAATCTAGAGATTGTAAAAAGGGTCCAAAAAATTTGAGACCTGTTCCCTCGAGACCCGACGCAACAGAGTGAAAGATGGGCGAGTGCTGCTGCGGGCGGGTAGACACTCGTGTGTGTGTGCGGGATGCGGGAGAAAGGAGTAATCAGTAATCAGTAATTTGATTACATTTACAGAGTAACTTGCCCAACACTGCTCGCACGAAACTCCAATCGCGTGAAGCACCGCTCACACAGAAGTCACTTCAAACCAAGCAGCTTACTTTTGGTTGTGGGGAATTCGCTTGACCAGCATGAACATGAGCGAAATCTGCGTGAGGAACTTTTCCAAACTTGCGCGAAACTCCCAGTCGCGCAGATTCCTATTGAAATGACTGGATTTCACCAAGCTAGGGTAAATGTGACCGCACCCTAAAGCTATATAAAAAAAAAAATCAATCCACCGTGTCACACTATGCCACTTCCCAAAGTGACGCTACTCTAAAAGAGCTCACAGCAACAAACATTTCCCACAGGGACAATGTATCGTATGGTACACTTTGATCATCTCAATCGAGGGGAAAACTGAATTAAAAAAGAGCTGCATGAGCTCAGGCGACGTTGATTATTCGGGAAATGAGCTCAGTCCTTCAGTTCCATCTCTGTACATCCCGAATCAAGGAGCTTTGCTTTTCAAAGGGATATGGATATCATGATGTCATTAATTGAGGACTTAATTGTCATGCAAATCCAGTTGAGAGGAGGAGGAAGAAGAGAAAGGCTTTTCTTCATGTCTAATCGTCTTAGCGCTACACCACACGTATTATCTCTCGCCACGTCTCATTTCTCCCTGTAATACAGCAGATACATCTTCAGGGGTTCAGGTAACGGGAGTCTTAGAATCTTCTCCCTCAGAATATTAACGGGAGGCTCTACACGAGCGCAGCCACTTTTGCTTTTCTCCTCTTCGGTGCCGCATCCTTCCTCGTCCTCCTCGGGCAGGTCTTCTCTCACTCGGCGACAACCCCTTTCCTCTTCCTCCTCCACTTCCTCTTCTTCCTCTTCCACCCCTCCAGGGTAGTTGCAATCGTCCATGGCTGTGGGAATCATGGAGTCGTGGAGAACCACGGAGTTGACGCACTGGCGGTAGAAACGGCGGCAGAAGCGGCGGCGTTCGAAGCGGGGCCCGTAGCGGTGCATGGCCCGGGCCCCTGGGAAAGACACCCGTCTTTTTGTGTGTCCTTCCCCCATAGCAATAGGTTGCCGCAGAGTGTGGCGAATAGCAATCCGGGACAGGTCCTGCAATGCATTTTTGGGTGAACTAACCCTTTAATGCCATGACTTTTAAGACTTTCTGCTCTGATTGAAGAACTTTTTAAGGCCTTAATTTATGGAAGGGGAAAGTAAGACTTTTTACAATATCACACAATTATTCTTCCATGTTTTAATTTTAACATTGAATTGCTAATTTTTTATTTTTCAAAGATTAACTGTTAATGCTTTATGCCCTAAGTAGTCATAATTACTAATACAAGAGAATGAAGGCCTCTTCACACCAAGAATTTGTAACAAGATTATTGTAAATAATATATTTAGGTAATTTTGTACTGCGATCACTGTTTTTCACAATGGTAATTTTCTTTTTTTCCCAGAACGGGATAAGTCTTAGTCTAAAAATATAAAGGATTCACAAGGGGGAAAAAATTATTTTGAGATTTAAAATAAAAGCCAAAATTTCCAAATAGGGCCTGTTTACATCAACGATAACTATATAAGCGTCCACACCAACAGACAATAACATTCTATCTATTATAAACGTGAGCTGTGGTTTTGTTGTCGACTGCTTTAAATGCTGGAGCTCTTAAAAGTTGAATTCTAATTGGCTGTCAATGTTTTTTATCATTCATCAGCTGGAGAAAAATTTTTATGAAATTGATTCCAACAATATCGTATCTCTGTGTTGTTAAAGGTGCAATAGGTGATTGTCTTCAGAAACATTTTTTGTTATGCTGGTTGAAAGTCTCTTCACATCCCGATAGCAATCATTAAGTTAAGTGGTCTAAATGTATTTGTCTGTATTTACATATTCTGTGGAAGGCGTAGGATCAAGAAATGTTCGTCCAATCAAAACGCTCGGTCCGAGCGTAGGCTTGCCGCGATAGACGGTGCTGACGGTTATACTGGTGTTAAGCCGCAACACCGGTTACGTCACTTGCCCACCGCGGCACCGTCCCCCACCGTCGTTTTGATTTTTTATAGAAATACAAATCATTTAGTTCAGTAAAAGAACAGACACTACAATTAAAAACTGAACGCGGCTGCTCAATGCAGCGTGCCGAACGACAGCATCACAGATCAGATTTAATTTCTCCAGTGAGGAGAGTGAGTCGAGCTGACTGACAAGAAGAGTGAGGTGAGACAGACGAGCGTTTTAATTGGCTTTCCTACCTGCCTGTCAACGTATGTATTTGCATACCTCTGCGCACCGGGTTCGTGCAGACAGGATACGTCATCAGCGCATTCACGCACGCTGAGCAGACAGAGCGAGAATGGCAGACAAATATCAACAACCCGGTCTTCCTTCCTGGTATTGTAGTACTTTTAAAGTTTTCTCACCGGTGAATGACACATGATGTAGCCCAGCGGTTAATCCAGTCCTCGCGCCAGCTCGTTAGAAGTGAGCTACATGCATGAACTGTGTTCCGATCGATATGATCCCTACACAGTGTTCATTGCTACCTACTCCCTGAGCGGGGGAAATCCATTGAAGTTTACTTCACTTCGGAACATGGGCTGGAATTGGGAACCGCTGATGTAGCCTATTGTAGTAAGTTGTCTCTGGTCTGTGAGCGTAAATGCGTTCAGGGGACGTGGCTTTGGACGGCGATTGCTGGAAGGGTGGGACGTTCGCTTTCAGTGCTATCAGGCTAAAGTTAGCATTTTCCAAGATCTTCTACTGCACCTTTAATGCTATAGTTGTGGTCTGGACTTCACTATTCTCTTAGCATGGTTATTCTAACTCTATAATTATAGTTATTGCTACATTTATAGTTGTGGATGTGAATTACCCTTTACACTGTAGTAATGGGTTGTATTTTGTATGACAGCATGTAAATGATCAGAGATTTGCTTTAATTGGGATATACAAATACTCATTGGCCTTGGTGTAAATAGTTTTGGTGTGAAAAATCATTTGCAATTAGTGTCCTTGTTTGTACTGGACTCACGTAAAGGAACGCTCCTAGGTCTGCCATTGACATTCTGTTTGGGCTGGACGAGCGGGGCAAAGGTCACAGCGATGATTTTCTTGGTCTCCCAGGAGCTCTGACCTGTGCGGGTGATCTTGGTCAACTGCAAAAGAGTTTCTAATTAATTACACTAATTACACATCATCCCATGTGAATACTAATTACACTTGTGTGTACTGTGTACATTGATTTTGTGTGAGTAAAATGCAAATACATTGAAATAAAAAAAATGGGACTTTGGGACACCATGAAATCAAAGTATTCGTTTTATGGCTTCAATGTGTTTTAGCTTTGAAGTCATGCATTTCCTCATTTATTTTTTAACAAATACAACCGTGTAAACTTCACAGTCTTTTCCTCACAGAAAAATGGGCCAAAAATATTAAATGCTCATCTTGCACACATGGTCTTTTCCAAATATTTCCCAATAAACTGAGCCTAAAGCCATTCTATATGTCAGGAAATGTCAACACAAGAAAGACATTCAATCAAAATTCATCAATCTAAATTCATCAAACCACTTCTAGACAAGAAAGACAACTAAATTCATCAAACCACTTCTAGACAATTAAAGTCTCCCTTAAAACCTGCTGTGCAATAAGAACACATTAACTTGATGCACGCACCTTCTCTTCCAGGGGGAGAACTAAGATCCCGCCAACCTTTAGCAGGTTCTTCATGTAGTTCTCATACTCTTTCTGAACTCCTGCTCCAGAGTACACCCTGTCATACTGCCGGCTCTCCGGAGGGATCTCCAGACAGTTTCCCACCACAAAGGTCGGCTCACAGAACTCAAACCTGTGGCCATTAAACAAAATCAAGTCATTAAAAAAATGGACAATTAAAAGCATATGTAAAGCTGCATCCCAGGAAATGGCTCACTTGTCAAAGCTGTCACTGGTTTTAATAAAGTGGTCAAGTTTCTCATATGCATAATCAACCACATCCGCATGCAGTTCCACACCGTGATTCACACCAAACGGACCTGGGGACAGAATGACAGATATGTATTTTTATATTAAATATGTATTTTTAGGTAAACTACAAATAAAAGTGAACTAGAATAAAAGGATAACAAAAAAAATAAATAAAAAATCGTGAACTAAAAAGGTTTGAGGGTCAGTAAGATTATTATTTTTTTTTTTTCTTCAGTTTTTAAAGAAATTATTACTTGTAGTCCACAAGGGCACATACAATTGGTCAAAAGTGTCAATGCAGGCATTTATAATGTTACAAAAAAATTATCCAAATAAAAACACACACAAAAAAAAAAAAAAACATTGAGCATTATTGAACATTGATAATAACAATAAATGTTTCTTGAGCATCAAATCAGTATATTAGAACGATTTCTGAAGGATCATGTGACACTGAACACTGGAGTAATGACTGCTAAAAAAAATCATTACATTTAAATAAATTGCCTTTTGAAATATTAAAATAGAAAAGAGTTATTTAAAATTGTAATAACATTTCACAATATCACTGTTATCACTGTTTACTTTATTTTTTGATCAAATAAATGCAGCCTTCGTGAGCCTTCATTCAAAAACATTTTAAAAATCATACCGACCCCAAACTTTTCAACAGTAGTTTAAATTCTCTTAATGTAAAGTTTTAGCATTACACAATTTCGTTTCTCAACTAAATGTATCGTTTTAAAGATGTTTCAATATTTCTACTTGAAAACAAGACAAAAATACCAATAAATAATTTTTTTTTTTTGCAGTGCAAATACACTCACCCAGTATAAGGCCCACCATGGTGCTGAGATAACCCGTCCCACTGCCCAGATTGAGAAAAGACAGGCCAGGCTGCAGGTCCAAGGCCTCCATCACCTCCGAGTAGATACATGGAGCAGACAGATGGAGGTTTCCATGCCTCCAGGCCAGGTCTTTATACGCACTGTCACGGTACTCCTCCAGGTAATAGTCCGCTCTGTCAATGGCTCTGAAGGCCCTCTCCACCAGTTCTGAGCGGATGTAATGGGCCTCCTTCAGGTTGTCAATCAGCTCATCGTTATCCTCACCCGCGCTGACGGCTCCACCCATGATGACAGCAGAAGAGCTTCTAAAGACAGTCCTGAGGTGTGCCTGTCACTGTCTGGAGGGAAAAGCAAAGCATCTCAGAGCAAACCCAGAGTAAGTTGACAATAAAATGGCAGAACGATCTTATTGAGCTTTATACTATTTAAGTATAAACAAACAGAATCTGATATATTAAATAACAAACATGAAGAATTCCTAATCGGACAACATATATATATATATATAAATAATAATGAAACCGTTTTAGGATCATGTTTTATTTAGTCGTAAATGACACCTCCAACAGACTGTTGTCTAGCAGGTGGGAAGAAAGCAAAGCATGATAATTAAGACAGCTAAATCTTTAATGAGTCCCAGCATGTCAGATATCGGAGGTGAGCTAATATGCCAACAAACTTGACAATAAGACTCCCACTCGCCTTCAACTCCTTCTCTCACACTCTATTTTTAGAGGTCAGACAAAGTAAAAAGTGGCACACTGTTGCATCCCGACTCGAACTCTTGGCAGCACCTCCATTTAAAGCAGAGATATGGTTTGTTTGTCATTTTGGCAAGCAGACAAAGCACATAGGTAGCTGACACATTACATGCTTATGGAATTTTTAAAAAATCCAGAATTTAGGCTCAAATTTAGATGCATGCATATGTGAAATTGTACATTTTTGGTGCTGTTACTGTTTATAATTTCTTGTAAGTTTTGTACCATTTCAACCATTTTATTCAATGAGTTTTATCTTATTCCATGATTATTTGATTTTTAAAAGAACATTTCTTTGAAATATAAATATTGTGTAACATTATAAATGTCTTTACTGTCACTTTTGATCAATTTATTGAGTACTTGCTGAATAAAAGTATTGATTTCTTTATTTAAAAACTAAAACTTACCCCATATTTTGTTACATTTTCCCTACATTTACAATTGTGACCAGAAATACAACAAATACTTTAACTTTTCTTTTTTTTTTGTTTCAACTGGGCTATCAATGGAGTAAAATAAATATGTAAAATAAATGTGCTGGGAAAATATGAGCTTTTAAAAGATACATGTATAACAATTATAAAATAGCATTGTTCAGTATAATATAGATTTTAACAAAACAATAGCAGGACATGTTAACAATCCACAAATATGTTAAATATGACAGACTTATTATAGGTCAACTTAGGTAACAACAAAAGCACCACAGACTAAAATATCAGGAATGCAAAATGGTGGGCTGGTCGCTTCTTTTACTTGCCAGATAAGTTTCAATGAGACATTAAAATCGAACTCGCTATAAAATGTACATTATATCACAAAGTCTATCTCTTTGTCATTTAATCTAACAAATGAACTATTGAGGTCGTGATGGCACCCGTCAACTATTTATAACGGACAACCGTGTAGCATGTGACACCACAGCACTGTGTTTCTGACACATGGAACCGATCATCACATTCAGCAAAACAGTAGCAAACCAATCGCGTTACATGACACGAGGAAAAACACATCTGTAAACACAGAGCAGCGAGAAAACGTAAACGTATTCGCGCAAAAATGACGCGCGTGTTGTAACCCAGTAACCGTCATATGTAGGTCACGTCTATTTTATGCATTTAACAACAGTTAACTGCAGTCTGTCTATGCACGAGGAGAGGCTTTACACAACCACCGACATAAACAAAAGAGTCTCCGCCACATTGGCACTCATTGCCGCTGCGCAGTCTACATCATCTTACCGTGTGATTTCGGACCTCAGCGGTTGTCTCGTGCAAACCAGCAATGTTCATCGATTACATTATCGCGTATGTCGTGTATTTGGAGCCGGGCACAATAAGGTCTAGCTTGACTGCGAAAAAATTGATGCGATATAAACATAAACCAGCTGACGCACTGACGTCACACGCACGAAGACGTCAAATGCATTGTCGTTGCATTTCGTGGAGATTCGATTCATCTTAGTGACTCGATTCTTTTAAATCTTTTCACCAAAACGATTTGTTTAAATTGAGATTCAAGCGTTGGTTTGTTTAAAAAAAAAAAAAAAAAAAAAAAAAAAAAAAAAAAAAAAAAAAAAAAAAAAAAAAAAAAAAAAAAAAAAAAAAAAAAAAACTTACCAAACACACATGGCATTTAAAAATACAAGAAAAAATGAGAAACAATAGTAGTGGTTGACTAGTCGTCATTGTTTCGCCTGAGGCAATCAGAGAGTTTTCGATTCTGTGTTGTGAGTCAATGAATCATTCATTCAACTGATTCTTTAAAAGATTCATTAAATTCTGTCATTCGTTCCAACGGTCTTATACTGTATTAAAATTTATGAAAAGTATTATAAGCGTTTTTTGATAATATGATATCTACTGTAAGGTTTTCTTTCTCCATTTTATCCAACAAGACAACAAAGACTCGTTCAGTCGGTCAGATACAAAAATGCCTCGTTCAGAGCCGCTCCGCTCCGAATCTTGTTCAGACTCCAAACACAGACTCGTCGACCTGACGAATGCTTCTTCACAGATCGCTCTCTATCGAAGGTAGGACACAACAGTGAATAAAATGCGTCCACTGCATGAAACAGGAACGTTTCGTTTACTAAAAAGGTTCATTCAAGTACATAATTCGTTCACGAACGAAACACCAGTAGAACATACAGTCAAAATCCCTCATACACAATTTGATATTCGTGTCAGAGCACTCAAAGGACAGGTGTTTTCATATTTTTATCCTTATTGTTATGAACAATAATGGTTAAATAAAATCATTTGGCGCAAATAAGTGATGCTTCCAAACTTTTTAAGCACCTGTAGATTCAGCCTGATTTATCTAAATGCAGTAACCTAAATATATCTGTCAGGTACTATGATTAGCAATGCGGATATCATTTTATCCCACTTCTGAAACGAGTGTCGTTATTAGACACCGCTGTAAAGTTTCATATGAATCATTATGCTGAGATAGTATTGTAGTAGTGGTAGTATAGATAGTTTTGAGTGTGGTAGTGTTTCTTTGTCTCCAGCAGAGGTCAGAATGTAAAAAGCTTAGATTTACAAATGGTGGCATACTTCCATTTGTTTGTTGTCAGTCTATAAAAAGACTAATTTATAAGCCAAACAGACTGTAAAAATCTCTCATCACAGCTAGCACTATCATGATGCTGACAAAGATGAAATATATAAAAGAAAAGACTAGTCAATTGGCATACACTTATTATTTTCTGAATTTCAGTTATCAAATCGATGAATCAAGACAGATGGAATCATGCAGTGACTAAAAATGTAACTTGTGTTTGTATTTCTGACTTTAACAAGTAAAAACAAACACACACGCACATCATGTAGGAAGTGTATACTCAGAAAGATCACATTATTGACTCTTTATTTATGTTTTCCATATATAACACTGAAATGAACGATACCTCCACAAAACAGACATTATTGTTCTCTTTTAACACTGATATCAGTGAGCACAGGTACAAGGATACACAAACACGGTCACAATCCAAAACCAACTACACACTTCATTTCCAAAGTTACCTCGAATCACGCACAGCCATAGCTTGTCCTGCTCTACAGAAACAAAACCTCGGTAAGGAAACTACCACTGCTACAAAAGTGACTAAAACATGTAGTCTATCACTGTGATAGTGCTTATTATTATTGGAAGTACCATTTCTTTTCTTTTTTTTGTCATTTTCTAAAGGAGAATCATTTTGTGGCTACAAAATCACCAGTAAAAATAGCTGATCTCTGTAAAAAGGACGCAAGAGGACAAGCCTTGGCCGTGGGTTAAAATACACTTTTTTTTTTTCGGCATTTACTTGGAAATATTGTTTAATACAACAACACTGTCCTTTATTACAAATGTACAGAATCCCATTGTTGTCAGAATAATGCCCTGTGCATAAATGCTTAATCTGTGATACGTTCCATGATTATTTCAGACTCGATGAAATGACCCACCACACAATTTCATACCTGAATCAGAATCACAGTTTTGGGAAGAATAGTGTTACGTATTGTGATTTATTTCATGTCGAACAACAAGCTGAATATCGGTTTCAATGCGATCTGCTCTTGATGTTCACCACTTTGCTGAATTCCTATTACCTCTTCCCCCTCAAAACAAGGAAGGAAAAGAAAAAAAGGAGAAAAAGTTGGCATCCTGAGTGGGATTTGAACCCAGTCCTTAAATGTAAACACACCCTTTGCTGCAGCGAACAGAAGCGAGAAAAGGCACACATGAGAAAACCACAGAGCTGTAAGCTACAGTACCTACAGAATGAGGGCCGTTTTGGTTCTATCAGCTTAATGGGACAAACAGTGCCTTCCGACTTTTTAGCTGTTATCGTTTCTCATGAAATGACAGAGGAACCGTTTTAATTGACCTACAGTTGGCACAAGTCTCCGAAAGGCCGGACTCTCAAGTACAAGGTGCTAAATCAAGCCTTATTTGGTTCCACGGGGAGGGGTTACATATGCTAACTTGCATTTGCAGATTCTACACTGCTCCAAGGAACATGCTACATTATTAGGCAGATTCAACACACTCGACCTCGCCAAGCAACATTCGTAGCTACTCTTCATCACCGACAGCAGGCGTTTAAGAAGCATGCATCGAGGAAGAATAATTCACACATGCTTTAGGCTATCTCACGTCAGTAGTAATAAGCAGATAGAAATGTTTCTCCCATCGTAATAAGACGAAATTACATCTGTAGTGAGTATTCCCTCTACGCAATTTAATAGAATGAAGAACTCTAATGAAAACTCTGCCGTTACGGATAGACAGCGTCTTCAGATTGCTCTTAAAGCAAAGGAAATGCTGTGGCATTGAAATGCAACGCACACGTCTTTCCTGCGGAAAGGTTACACAGAATGAGGCCGATCTGACATTCTGTGGAAATGGACAAAGATTTATGCAACTAGCGTCTCCTTCGTTTTCTCCGTGCGCGAGGGCACGCCAATGACAATCTCAGAGCTCAAACCACATCTTTTTTTCGTTTTAACGAAGGGCTTGTTGCCTAAAGCTAACAGATCTGATACCGCACATCTGATTTTGGACTTTTTTTGTATTGGCAACAAGGCAAAAACATGTCGGTCAAAGGGCATTTTGACATTTCAGACAGGATACAGGTTCACATTAAACAACAACAAACAAGTCAAAGACATTTGCGATATTTGATCCCAATCCTGTTGGTGCAATGAACAGTTGTCTGTTAGCCATTTGTACCTTTTTTCAAATGAAAAATAATCCACTAACACACTCGCGTGCACAAAGAAAAACCTTTTGGTTGAAAGGTCATTAGTTGGCATTCAAGATTTTTGAAAAGTGCACACATGTTCTGTCCATCACAATATTGCTGCCATAATAGCAAATGAACAACATGACCGATGTGTACTATTTAACGAAACGACCGGCTGAATAGAGGCACAATGCTCATTTCACAACTCGCTATTATGAGTCATACAGATGTCATTGCGATGATTGGCATTTTACACATGTATCTAAGTGTGGCGTGTCCCACCAGAATTGCACAACACCATACAATATTAAAGACAGATCCACCGAGGAGAACTTTCAGCACAGTACAATGCGTCTAAACGATTACAGCCTAAGACTAATCTGTTAACCATTGTCCCATTAATGCGGCTGACTTACATACAGAGGCCCAGCGAGTTTGGACCAGAAAATAGGAAACTCTACAAACATCCTCGTATTCTTCGCTTTAGAAATGTACGTATACATATTATAAAACACATCGTATCCTGCAACCACAGTAAACTGGGTCTGTCTTTTTTATATTATTTAGTCTTCTATGAATAGTAGTACTCACAGCTTTTGGAAAGATATTGTTTTTGTTTAGCTACTATAAGCGAAAAAGAGTTAACAATTACACTGTAAAAATATATGTATGTTTATATACTATATATAGTTTTTTTGTCTTCTTTTTTTTCCTTTTAAATACAGAATGAATATATTGTGTAGGTATGGCCATCACGGCAAAGGAATAAAGGCATCTGTAACAATCCCCACTTATGCCACGGTCACATGACCCGAGGGTAGTGTGGTTGCTGAATGGGCGGAGTCGGTAACGAAAGCACAGGTCAGTGGCACTTTGTGCATCGAAGAAATAAAACTCTAGTATAAGGCTACACGGGTGTATGCTTGTCTGATACTAGTCGAGTAAGGACATTGTGGTTCAAGAGTTTCTGTCAGGATGGTTGGTATTCGTCTTCCGTACCCCACCGCAAAAACGACCACCCGCTTCCCATGGTCCAACAAAAATAATCAATTTGCAATTCATTAGGGTTGTTCAGGGGAAACAGTTTTTGGCCACTACTGAGAGCTTGAGGAGGTATAAAGAAAAAAAACAAAAAACAAACACAAGAGGATCCAAAGGAACGTCTTCTTCCTGTCGAGACGGACGGGGTAAGAGTCAAAGCTGTAGGTTCGACAGTACTGGAATTGCTTTTTTTCCTCTTTACATTCCTATAGGAAGTAATGCTGGTATAAGGAAAACCCTCGATAATCATCATGTTTTATTCTGTAGTCCAAAACATGTTTTTATCTTTATTTTTTTATATCGCCAAAGTTTCTTCAAGACTACTATGACTTCACAAACACACCGAGACGTTACAAAATAAATATACATTACAACCGTATCACAGTTCATAATTTCATCATAAATATTAAATAAATAATAAATAGAGATGATATTTCTCCTTCAGCTGTGTTGGAAATTCGGGGGAAAAAAATGCAAATAGAGATAGATATACAGGTAGAGAGAAAGAGAAAAAAAATGTACAGAATTATCAAAACGTTGGTTAAAAATATTTGCACTTAAAATTTTTTTTTAAAACTCTATTGTCAAATGAAAAGAAGTTATAAAAATTAG